AAAAAAAAAAAAAAAACAAAAAAACAAAAAAAACATCGAAAGGAATATACGGAGCGATGAGCTGAAGCGGGGTTAAAAGAGAGGAAACTGGTAAGCAGTAGAGGAAAAGAAAAGCCGTCAAAGAAGAGGGTAATATGATGTACAATAGATCTGTCCTGTCTTTGTCTCGCAGAGGTCATCCAAAAGTTACCAGAATTTAGTTCTGCTGAATAAAATTAGGCAATCAGTAACTTCTCATTCACTTTCAAGCCTCAATATATACGTGTGCATACGTATGCGCGCACAGACGCAAACGCCACCGTATAAATATAAATCTATACATGTATGTATGTAAAATCATACAGATGTCAAGAAACAGTTCACTTTTAACTACTAAAGTTCAATCAACTGAACTGGTGACGTCATTTAATTAGGTTAAAAATATCACGGGTTTAATGAGATAAATTCGGTCTTCATTCATCAATATCATGCCTGGAGCACAAGTAAATACATTCCAGCGAGACGAAGGCTGCTTTTGCTGCTGTCGTAAATATTTTGGTGTGATCTGGACCCTTGACAGAGAAATTTTGCTAACGTCTGGCATATCTAGCTAATTTATGAGTATCTTTTAAAAGAGTCATTCACTGATTGGTAAATAATTTCTTTCTCCTCCCCCCTTCCCCCCGAAAATTTGTAGCTTCTGGTGAGATTAATTGTTTAAATTCACAGATTTTCGGTGAGAGTTAGGACTGAAAGGCAATCGAAGTTTAAAAAAAAGTCCTAAAACCTAGCAATTAGGAGTGAGGCAGCAAAACTTTTATAATTTTTGAGTGTTCAGCACGCACATGCCTCTTGATTCCACCCGTATTTAAACTTCTAACCATTTGCAGAAAGGTGAAGTTTTTGCATCGACCATATATTCCCCTAGAATCGAATCTGTGACTATATGAATATCACACAAATTCGGTTCTACAGGGTATATATAGACAACGTAATAACATTCTGTTTTCATCTATAATATAGCAGGTCTTTGCAATTCTCTTAGTTTCTTACTGTCTTCTGAGGAATGTAAACTATTCTGCTGGGACTCAGTTCTGAAATACGGATTTGCAGGAAGGTGGGATTTCGGAAAAGATTCACTCTTGTTATAATTGCTGCAATAGAGCTATACGAGTCTCCACCAAATCATAACGACGAATTTCGCCTACCAAATTCTCAGAAAGACCTGCCGTTCTCTTTAAATTCTCTGCCGTTTACGTCCTCGCTACAGAAAACTGACCTGATCGGTCAAATTGTGCTATTTAGAATAATAATGGTTAAAGTAATTTAGAAAGGAGTCTTTATCTATTTAGACTAACACGAATCCGAAGAGATTCTCCATAATCAGAAATCCCCCCCTTCAAATAAAAAAAAGAATTAAAAAAAAAGAAAAACAAAACCACAAACGAAACAGAAGTAAAACAGTCGACAACAGAAACAGCGGTTGGTGAAAAAGATGAGATTAAAGGCTGGAGTTAGTTGCTCTCGGGAAGAAGAGAGTTTCCAAATTTACCTTCATCCCATTATGCTGGTCTAGCTATTATCCCCGCGAGCTGCCCGCGAGCCGCAGCCTCGCACCCTCCCAGGTTTTCCCCGCCGTAGCGTTTATGGTGAAGGGCAGGGCGAGAGGTCAGCCGAAATCATTTACAAACATATCACAAAGTTTCATTATTTTTACTTTGTCGACAGCGGCACACAGGAGTACAAAAGTTCATGAATTGTGTCTGACCCAGCTCCTCACTGCTGTCCTGCGGTCAACCTCTTCTCCTTCCACTATTTAAAACAGGCACCATAAGGACAAATAATGGTGCGGGTGTGATACATCCAACCACTGCGGAGGGCGGATTTGGGGGTGTTGCGCTTATCCGAGCGGTGTGTACCAGTTTGTTTGCCTGGTTCCAACTCCCAACTGCCTGATCTGGGAGATGCTATTTTTAAACATCTACTTTCTTACCACTACTGTGGTGCCTTCTTCACAGCAAGTGCAACTCGAAGCGACTTTGTGTCC